GCGGGGAGGAAGGGGGGGGGGAGGGGGGTACTTATGTAAACGCATGCCGTACTCGTTAAACCATTGACCTCGTATCTTTACAATGCCGGGATGGGAGTGACTCATGATTAATCATGCATGAATCATGCATGCCGGAGTCTTCCGGCCATAAACGTCGGGTCATATCTCTACAAACCCGGGACGGAGCACGTGAGGTTTCCGCCGATTTGGTTGGTAGTTCGTAACATCGTGCACGGGGGTGGACCTCTCTCAGGATAGGGGGCGGGGGCGGTTGATTCCTCTAGGACATGCGTCCCGCGAGTCGGACAAGAGGGGAAAATGCAGTCAGTAGTAGCGAATGAAAGTACCAAGAGCACAGCCCCGCTATGGGAGCACACAGAAATATAGACCTCCGACAACAACAGCATTCGCAGTCCACACCTATCTTCGGGAAAGGATAGCAAGACCATCACGAGTATGGATCCTTCTTGCGTTGTTTTGTTTCGCGCAGCTTGGGTATTGCCCCTCAAACCTCTCCTTACGTTAAACCACAACAAATTTCGACACTATCAACTGTCATGTTAATCGACTCCCCCTGCCCCCGAAAACGACGACGAGAACAGGCTGTCTTTCCAAGCAAAAACGAACAACAAGAGCCACCAGAATGGCGCACATGCCATCCCGGCTGCGTTGAAACCCGGCAAACGAAAAAAAAAAAAAAAAACGCGAAAACGTACTTGAGCCGTTGTAGGTCCATGGCTCGTTCCTTCTTCTTCTCTTCCTCCACCAGCTTGAGACGCTTCTCCTGCTTCTTCTTGCCGGAACCGTACCCGTGGAACTGTAAAGAAAAAAAAAACGTAAAAAAAACATGACGTGGAAGCAGGTCATTGAACATACTATTTAGTCTTGGGAGAATGCACGACAGAAGTTGAAGCGGTTGAAAACAGTGATGGAAACAAACGCGTTAGTTGTCACGAACCAAATTAGCCAGCAACAACAGCAACAACAATAGCAACAACAACAACAACAACACCAACACCAACACCAACAACAATACCAACAACAACAACAACAACAACAACAACACATACCTTGTAGCAGAGGTTGCGGAACGCTTCCTTTCTGGTGATCTCCCTACCCCACTCGTCGCGGTATTCCAGCTTGGCGCCCGACTCTCGGTCCTCGCGGGTCTCTTCCGCCTCCCCGTGGTGCTTTCTAGCGTCCTTCGCTCGCCCGGATCGGTGGAACTGGGAACGAACGTGGCCAAATACCGCACAGGCAAAAAAAAAAGTAGGTAAGAATTAGACAAAGAGCATCATCCTCTAACCCGGAGAGACTAACAATTTGTCATGTCAAAAAGTCTAAAACACACCTCCCGTGCATAAGGTTGAAACACTTCGTAAGGATTGTCAAACGTTCGACGTGGACATCCCTTCCATGCGGGGTACAATCTCCCCAATGTCGAGGACGATCGATGATGCCCTCTTGCCACAGAGAGCAACTTTCAACCGTAAATAAGTTCATATCATTGGCAGATGAGTACATTGTATGGCTTCCACAACTGCTGGACAGAAACCGATGAAAGCTTGATCAAGAAATAATCCTGTGCGACGGAAAAAACACAAAAGTTCTTGGAACAAAACAACTCTAGCGCGTGCGACAACCGAGTCCATTCTCTTCTTTTTACCTCCGTTCTTCTCTGCAGCTACTGCTGTCACCTCTACATACCTTTTCATTGAGGACACCCGAAGGCCTGAGGAGGGCGAGAGTCGCTGCCATGCCGTTCTTCGCCAGGGGCTGCTTGTGCAAGAAACCCATCTGAAAGAAACAGAAAAAAGAGAAAAAGTTATAAGAAAAAGGTCCCGATTCATGTCTTCTGGTGGGTTTGGTGAAATCTACGGTAAAATTGTCATTGCATCATCGGAAGAGAAGAGAGAGGAACCTCTCTTAAACTCATTCCCATGTCTATCTACTTCGTTCTTAACGTAGATATAGATATATCATCCGGAGCGCAGAAAGAATATTTTCAAAACCGGATTGACGTACTTGGACAAGCAGCAGTCTTACGCCTACGACGCCGTTAGCATAACTAAAAAACAGGATGAGCGTCATCACTAGCTGTGTAGGTAGGTTTCGTTTCCCCGACTTGAGAAGTATAGTAGTTGCGCCGCTCGAACCGACCGGCGGAAATGGGTTACCCGTGCCATGTACCATACCATTTGAGTCTGTCGGCATGCACGCGAACATACAGGAACCAGTATCGCGGTGCTGCGTTTGCACACGCCCGGTATATACCGCGAAGCTGCAGGCGGTAAGGATAACGGTGAGTTTTCCATGCTTGATGCGGGGCGTCGATATCGTTGCTCTCAACATCTCTACTAGCCTCGGTTGCGTAAGGTCATCACACTGGCGCCACATCACAAACGCGCGGAAAACATGTCGGTGTAGCACTTTGTGCCGCATGCTGCAGGCGTGTACTCTCGCATCGTCTATGGCATCGTGCCAGGACTCTTGCCCACTAAAACTAGGAACATGACAACCATGGTCTCTCCAAGAAAAAATCGCGACACACCCAAAATTCTATTCATTACCCACTTCAATATTTTTTTCCTGTCAAGGAATAAAATAAAAATACGTCGCGGCTATTTTGTACCTGTTCGTCGTCATCGCTGTCTTCCTCCGCTCGTTCCAACATTGCCTCTATTTCGTCCGCATCTGGCTCTTCCTCCTCGTCGTCCCCGTTCTCTTTCTTCGTCGTCCATCTGGAAAAAAAAAAAGAAAGTGGAAACTATTAACTAACAACAGAAAAATACAACAAGGTAGGAAGGAAAAAAAAAACGTGGCAAAGATGAACACAACCCTGCGTACCACAAGACGCCTTCGTGCTTGTCATCTTGCTATGCTATGCCTGTGGTTGTCCACGCATCCCTGTTCACCACTGGAACAACCCCCCCCCCCAACTTTTTCCACAAACATTTGAGAGAAAGAGCATGCGCGCCGTTCGAAACAGCTTGAAAGCGACGTGTCTAGTGGGCATGCCAAACTCAGAGGATGTCAACCATTGTGTTTTGTGTGCTCTGTTTCAGATTTTTTTTCTTGCTGAAACTTGTCCATTTCCCCCACCCGATGATGTTGCTGTTGTTATCGATGCTCATAATCAAACTCACAACGGTGCCAACTCCTCCAATTAGTACCTACCCTATGTCTCCTCCCGGTAAAAACACCGCCATTCACAAAGGCTTGATAACCCCTCTTGACAAACCAAAAACACCACGGCGAAAAGCTTCAACCCGAGCAACACACAACGCCGGCACCTACGTACCTCGATCGCTTGGCCTTCGTCTTGGCAGCTTCATCCTCCGCCTCCTTCTTGACGTCGCCTTCCCCCTTGACCGTGTCAACGTCCATCGCGTCGTCTTTTCCGTGTTGCTTGCCCTGCTTCGCCTTCTTGGCCTCTAGCTCCTCTTTCACCCTCGTCCTCTCGGCTGCCTTGATGCTGTCGCGCTTGCGCTCCTCAAGGGTCGCCTGGTAGAAAACCAGGAGGGGGGAGGGGGGGGGGGGGGGGTACTCATGTACTCATGTTACGCATGCCTTAGCGGCTAGTAGACCATTGACCAACATGACGACGAGGGGGGAATGAATCCATATGTTGACTGTCATACGAAAGCCGTTCGACTGTTGACCGTGTTTCTCTTATGCAACTTACGTCGAAAGCAAACAACAATCCCTCAGAGACGGCGCAGAGGTTCTATTTAGCTACACATACAGACATTGCCACAAGTCGGGCGCTCTCGCTTAAAAGTGTGTGTCGCGGTTTGTTCGCCAGCAACGCCTCGATTGCTCGTCTTACCCCCCTCCTTTCGTTCGAACGGAACGGGAAAGGGAGACCACGGATATCCAAGAAGAAAAGCCACGGGACAAGACCCTAACCCACGGTACAACACACGAGAAAACAGCTCGGAGAAATGGAAGGAAAAAAATGACCGCAAAATCGTCCCGTACACCACGTCGACACACCATCACCACGACGCACCTCCAGTCGGCTGGTGAACTCGGTGGTAGACGTGAACACCATTCCGCCGTCCCCACCGACCTCCTCCTTCACGGACACGCCTCCGCCGCCGCTGTCCACGGCCATGGCACTTCCTCCTCCTCCTCCTCCTCCTCCTCCTCCATTGTCTTCGGCCTTTGGCCCCTCCTCCGCTGCTTCGGTCTTGACCTTTTTCCGCGCCATGGCGTCACGAACGGCCTGGCGTTGTTTCGGCGTACAGGACGGGGCCAGAGAGAGGCGGTTAACCGACGAACGGGGGGGACCTACAAAAAATCAAACGAGAGCTGAAGAGATATCTACGAAGCACACAAAATATCAAACGAAAGCTCGACAGAACACGTGAAATGAACAGCGACACTCCCGAGCTCTTACCACCACCAACACTATCTAGCCAAGTCGTGATTCCGGTCACCTTGTGGGTCACAGTTCTCGTCTCAGCCACCAATCCACACGAAAACAGAATAACAACCTACGGAATCTGCAACACAGACCGACAGGACCGCCAATTTGTCACCCACACACAAACACACTATACAACGGCAGACAGCCATGGGTGTGGCCGATTCATACCCACCCTCTTCCACCTCGCCAGAGGGACAAATCGACTCATACGCCACCAAGATATCGACTTCGAACCCCATCTGCACCGCAAGCACAAGCCCCCTCTACCCCAACCCCAACGCAAAATCTCCTCCAACGCACCTCCCCGATGTCCCTAGACTTGCGGGCCTTCGCCTTGTCCTTCATCTGAGCCAGCCTCCTGGCCCTCGCCAAGGACACCCCTAGGTCGCTGTCCAGCTCTTCGGCAAACGCCTCCGGTTCCGCCGCAGCCGGCGGAGGCGGCGGCGGCGGCGGCGGCGGCGGCGGCGGCTTGGCGAAGCTATCCGCCAGCTTCTCGCTCGCCCTCTCGCCGGCCCTCGCCAGCGCGGTGTCGAACCTCTTCCTCTTGTCCTCCCCCCTGTCCGCCTTTTCAGAGGCCGCTAGGCGGGCCGCCCGGCTCGCCCTCGACCCGTGGTCCCCCCCCCCGTTCGTAGCTGCGGAACCCCCTCCCGAAGAGGAGGAGGAGGCGTTACGACCCCCGTTGGCGGCGGCGTTAGCACCTGAGGACCCGTTTCTGCTGGAGTCGTGCAAGGCGGCCTCTAGGCCGAGCGAGGAAGAGGCCCCTGCCTCCTCCCGCTTGCGCAGTTTCTTCTTGCGCATCTGCGAGTGGCAAAAATGGTAGCGGCAGCAGCTGTAATGATTGGGCTGTTCGTTGTAGTACATTGGAGAGATGGGTTGATTGGGGTTCGTAACGGGGGGCTTCGGGGTAAAGGAGCGGGGGTGAGAAAAAAGACGGCGCAAACACTCCCTCATGATGGAGCTGGCGACGAGGCTACTATTGGGAGGCAACAGCCGCGTTGGTCGCAAACACTCTACTTCAGCCGCAAACAAACAAAAAACAAACACGTCTTACTGTTGAAAACACAACTCCAAGTAAAAAAAAACAATACCCCGAATCTAGAAAATACAATCCCCTTTCTTCTAGATACTAGACGGTGGCCTACTACCTCCCTCTCCCCCCCCCCCCCCCCCCCC